TATCCCCTGTGTGCCTTGTCGACATAAGGCAACAGCGAGATTCACGTCGGTCGCTAATTATTGCGACAGAGGTTCATGATCAGCTATATTATTTTCTTATAACGTATGGCAAACATTAAATTAATATTTCGTGCAAATTTCTAATCTAAGCCCATATCTAATGTCTTTGATTTCGAGTAAAGTTATTCAAATAAACCTGCGACAGTATAGGGCCGACGAACGATATTAGAATGATCTTTGACTTCAATAGAAAAAATACATATACGCGCTTTTTATAAATTTAGCGAATGCATACTTACGTTCGATGCGAATGCAACACACAGGTTTCGGCGGAAGTCAAGTCTGGCGACGTAGATGATTCTGCAACAAATAAATACAAAAATTACAATAATCTCGACAATTAGTCGATAATCGCGATAGTTGCAGATGTAAAAATCAAGCCCGGAGATTGCGGCGTTCAATTAAGTCCTTCCAAATCAGTAGCGAGAAATTTATCATTATATTGACATATTATCGATATATTTTTATCTATTTTCAAAGATACTCAGACTGATAAAGTCCACGTAAGTAACGAGCGTTGTTCAATTTAACTCCGATTCCTCGCTCGAGGACGCCGGAGAGTCGTTCTCATGCGCGACACAGCTCATGACCGAATTGAGAGAAATCAGCTGATTACGTGGGCTTTACCTTCTACCGCTCGTAATTCGACACCGTACGCGACTAATTGCCGTACGTCTGTTCCACTTACCGTTTCAATTCGCATAGCAGAAATATCACTTGCTCGGCGTTCAGACCGGGAATGACGCGACAGAACGATCCATTCTTTTAAATATGTTGTCTTTCGCGCTCGAGAGGGGATCGATGATATTTCGCACGATCAAAATCTTCAAGATCTTTAATCACTTATGGCACTTATGCAATCGATACTAAAAGGTCATATGCTACTGCAAAATTGTTATTAATGACACACGGCTATCGCGCTGGTCCTTCGGGACATTTTTTTTATATTTAAAATATAAATTACATTATACATATATCTATACATATGTTTACACAATCCACACACCAAACTCCAAAGTCCATGTCAATGCATGAAGTTGTGAACGTGAGCAACAACGGATAGGTGTAGGTACCGGGCCGCGCGATGTAGCAATTATTCAAGTCTACCAAGTGCCTTTTCTTGACCGACGACAAACATTCAAGATTTTATTTTACTTTCATTTGTAACTTCTTTTCATACACACTTCATCTCACACATACTTGCACTCAGCATATTGATTTCGATACTCACACTTTTTAAATAAATTTTATTAAATAAATACTTACCTAACAACACAAAAACATTTTTATTTCGTCACTTATTCTATGTATCGCAATCAGTGAACTGCAGTTTATAATAATAAAATCTTTATAATAATAAAATCTTGTTAATATCTTGGATAAATCTATATATTATAGTTATAATTGATTATTATATTATAGCAATCGCAGTTTTATTAAAATGGATAAATGGCAAATAAATGAATGGAAAGATAAACAAATGACATAAAAATTAATTTCATAATTCATATATATCTAATACGTATAATACGGGTATATATAAATGTGAGACATTTATTCATATATGTCATTCAAGAAATATTAAAAGTATAAAAATAAAAACCGTCAGTTCAAAGATATCATCTAGAATAGATTACACATATATGATATATATCTGGATGTAAAGGGAAAGTAGTACGTACTTGGATCTGTAATTAAAGTTTAAAGGTAAAGCTTTGCGGTGGGGGGGATTGTTCCGCAGTTATTTGATTTAAGAATTTATGAGCGTCTTGATAGTGAGGGCTCGTTTCCGCGGCAACTCTTTCCATCCAGGCGGTCAGTTGTGGTCTTCCCTTTCTCGCCTCGTAACCGCCCAGTCCTACAAAAAAAAAAACAATTCCTTTTTAAATCGCGTAAATGCGGTACGTATATTAGGTATATATTATGTGTGAAATCGAAAGGTTTGTGATAGCTTACGCGGTTGTTCCAATTCACAGGCGCAGAATATATCAGCCACACTAATCGTGTCTCCCGTCAAGAACGGCTTATCTTTCAGCCATACGTTCTCAATAATGTCGATGCAATCGCTCATACAACTTTCCAATTCGGCCACCTTTTCCGGCTTTGGCGGTTTACCTCCCATAAGCGGATTAAGGAACTATATTTTTTTTTAAATATTATAGTTTAAATATTCTGCGCGCAAAACACATTTGAGAAAGAGATACAAGGAAGGCGTTCAAACCTTTGCTAAAGTGTACGCCAAGCAATGACGTCTTGTGTTGAGATGCTGCCACTCGAGATATTCGTCAACTTTCGCCTGTTTTTTCGAATCGGATGGATACCAGTGATCGTCCACTTTAAATTCTCGACAGATGTATCGCGCAATCGCTACACTAAAATTATCAAAGACAATTAAAACAATTAAATTTAAGGTATTTATGTTACTCTGCGGAGTGCGGAGAGGGCAACAGACCTTTCAGAGAGACTGAAGCCATCGTGCTCCATAACAGGGACTCTTTTAAACGGATTGATCCGTTCGAATTCTGGAGTGTATTGCTCGAGATTCTTCAGATTTACTATCTTCTCTTCGAACGGTATGGCACACTTTTTGAGAAATATATATAATGCTCTCGAAGGTTGTGAGAGTAGATCGTAATGCAACTTCAAAGTCATGATTGAGAAGAAAATTCTGAAACAAAAATTAAGAGAAATAAAAGAAACTTAGATCAAACGTCTCTAAGCGTTACTTTGCCGTGTTCACTTTAATTTTGATATATAAAACGTGCACATGAACAGCGTTCAAGGACGCTATTGTACCATTTTATTTTTATACATAAAACAATAGGTTTAATAATTTTTAAATAATTTATATACATAAAACAAGGACAGAATAGCGCTGTTAGCGCGCTCCTCGAACGCAGTCGTGGTTTCGTGAAACTTAAGGATTACATCAATTTTTCCGCTAAAATCATTTTAAAATAAGACAATCCATATTAATTGAATAAATTTTAAATTTTCCTTGCAATATGCTGTACGTGGAGTTGCTCGTTATTACAAATTTGCTTTGAAATTGATAACAATTAATCGCATGAATTTGAGGCGCCACTGCACTTCATGCAATTACGAGATAATCGATTTATTTTTTAATAAAGAGTAATATAAGATAGCTATAGTATTGTGATATGTTAATCGTTGAGTGTTGTAATTTTGAGGATTCGCTCGTGTCAGCTGTGAATTAGAAGCTGACACGAGGAAATCAATAAATAAGGAAAAATCGAATCAATAAGTGCAAAATCGGTCTCTGCCGGTTTTAACATTTGACAACAACGAGATTTACGTGTGAGTCGGTCGCTCAGTGCTTGCAACAGAAATTGATCTAATATTTTCCTATACTTAACGTATGGCGAGCATTAAATTAACATTTCGTGTTTAATTTCTATCTATAATTAAGCAATGTCTCAAGCTGTTCGAAATAAAATTATTCAAATCGGGTCTACGACAGAATATATAGGATCGACGGACAATATTAGAATGACCTTTGACCTCAATAGAAAAAATATATAACGGTATACGCTTTTTATAAATTTAGCGACTTAAGTATTTACGATCGATGTGTGGATGCAACATGCGCGGTGGTAATCTCGCGACGCAGATGATAATTCTGCAACAAATAAATATAAAAATTACGATAATCTCAACAACTGATCGTCGACAATCGCAGAGATGTAAAAAGTCGAGCACGCGCGGAGATGCAGGCGGCGTTCAAATCCTTCGAAATCAGCCCCGAGAAATTTATATCAACGTTATTATTATCGATCTGTTTTCATTTCTTCTCAAAGATACCCGGACGCAAATTGATAAAGTCAGAAAGAAGCGTCTCCGATAAAGCGACCACGTAAGCAACGCGAGTCTCGTCATTCCAATTTAACTCCTCCTCGGAACGCCGCGAGTCGTTCTTATGCGCGACACGGCCGCACGGCCGCGACCGAATTGAGTGAAATCAGCTGATTACGTGGGCTGATTTTAGTATTTTACCGTGTTCTACCGCTCGTAATTCGCGACACCGTTCGCGACTAATTGCCGTACGTCTGTTCCACTTGCCGTTTCAATTCGCGTAGGAGAAATATCACTTGCTCGGCGTTCGGAACGGGAATAATGCGGCAGAACGTATATCCGTTTCTCCCAAACGTGTTGTCTTTCGCGCTCGAGAAGGGACCGATTGATATACTTGACGATCACTTACGCAATTGATACGGAAGGGCCACTTGATGCTACTGAACTGTTACTGACACGGCTATCGCGCTGGTCCTTCCGGCCTTTCGCCGAAAAACGGGATACCTGTCAAAATATAAATTCCGTTATACACATACGTATACATATGTTTACGCAACAACGTACACAGCACACACACACGCGTACCACACGCACGCACACACAAATATAATGTATGAAGTTGCGCACATGAAGTGTAGTAACGACACTAACGACGGATAGGTGGCGACACCGGGCCGCGCGACGCGCGACTGTGACAGGTGACCGCGGAGCGCGAGACGCCAGTTGAAAAATGGCGGACTGCGAGAAGGAGGAGGCGCACAATCTCGTAAGCTATTTACCTTTACTTAACGTTTATCTAATCGTCTTAGACGCCTAGTCCCTAGTCATCTGATAGCGATAGTCCCTGGGTCGCGTCAAATTATTTCACGCCCACTCCGATTGTCATCGCTCGCGGCGAGCGTTTTTGAGGTTATGCCCGCTTTTGACATCTCCCCGACAGTCACCCGCTCCGCGGGTAGACAACGCGAACACCCTTCAATTTCCCAACTCCCTCCCCCCTCCCTCTCCCGAATCGATAACACCCCGTTGTGAATTCGCCTTTCAGCAAATGGAGTTCGAGTGGGTGCTCCACGAGGAAGTGCACTCGTCGCTGTCGCAGCTCCGGAATATTTTGATGGTACGATGAAGCACAATCGGATAAGTGTTCTATATAAGTATGACGCCTGCGGTCCACACCTCGTGGATCGACGCTCAGAAAGCCCACGCCTTATATTAATCCTGCGTCTATTTTTATTTTTTAAGGAGTGCGCCCAACGCTTTCCCTTGGCTCTCTTCGGTAACGACCAACACAATAAAACCGACAGATTCGTGTTCGCGGCCCCCCACGATCAAGTGAAGTGCGTTGCCGTTCTGACAGGCGACAGCATCACAAATGCGGTAAAGTGTGTCTCTGGTGTGCCTGCGCACTCTCGAGATCGGTTGAAATGTAAAATTATTCATTTTCGGTCAACCTGTTCGCCTTATCGAGATGTTTCCCCCATCCTTGTAGGAAGTGAACTTTAAGGTGCAGCGACAACAGAACGTTAACATGAGAACGAGTATTCAAAGTGAACACCCGTGGAAGCTGCAACAAATTCAGGATGCCGCTAATCACTTGCAGCAGGGCATCGCTCATATAGACAACGTAGACAGACATTACCTTTTTAAAACGTCGGACGAAGTCATGCATGTGCTAGGCAATATCCTGGGCTGCCTTCAGAGGAGCAGGACCAGCTTGATCGTCCCTAGGAAGAAGACAATCGACGATCTCATTAAGAGTCGAAATATGGTATGTGACATTCATCTTATTTCATCATAGATGTGTTAGTCTAACTGTAAACGGTGGTAACATTGTAAAATTAATTTTTTATCTCATTCACAGAAATCTCTCAATCCGAATCTTCCGGAGAACTTGGCCATTAGCTTTTACATTCAAAGCTACAAGCTGGTTTTAGCTGTTTATCAGTTGGAAAATGCTCACGGCAGCGTTAAGTACGAAACCCAGCAGGCGGAGTGCAGCGTGCCGTGGCTGAACGACGCTCTCGTATTGCTTACAATTGCCCTGCAGCTTTGTCAACGACTAAAAGATAAGGTTTGCTATGATTGTTTAATTAAGAAAAAGAATTTCAGTTTAATTTGATGTACTCTCTCTAACACGATGAACTTTTCAGATATGTGTCTTTTCTCAATATAAAGATTTTACGGTAGGCTCTCGTGTTCCTTCCGCGATGGGCTGGTAACCTAGCACCAAGATACGTTATCGAATAAAGCCCGATGTAACGATACGACGGTACATGCAAGTGAGAAAGATTTGGCCTCAACTTGGCAACAATTGCTCTGGCCTTCGTTTTTACATATGTTAACTGTTGTCCTTTCATCGTACTTCTCATTGCACTAGAGTGTTGTTCTAAACGTTTTTAAACGTGATTATAGTGTGCGCCTAGTATAGTAATGTATGTATTATAAGCTACTGAGATACCCCCGATCAAAGACTCGCATGGCGATGTGAGCATCAATGGATAATAACAAATCGCTATATTATTATAGGCCAGAAATGGAAGACTTTGAGAGCATTTTGCCAATTACTGGTGTGCCTATCACCATGTTATATTGTGTTCTTCCCATTTCTGTGGTAGGTTTTCACGATCGTGTAAATCCAACTTTGGCATATAAACATCTAAAAAAAATTTTGTCATTTTATCTACGAATTGATAGACAAGTATTTAATACATCTACTGTGATTCTAGAAATCTACGCTGTAATCCTCTCCTTACTGGATTAGAACATACTTTCATATATTAATCGGTTCTCTTTATTTTTTTTCATTATAGTACTTCGTATAGGTGTAGGTTACGTGCATAACTATAGCATATAGCATAATTGTTGAACTTGATTTCATGGAACTATTAAGTTCGAGGAAATGATGTTGTTTTTTATACTTTAAGCTTCCGCATTTGTTTTAATGCATAATACTTGATGAAATCTATTGAATCAAATTTCTGTAAATGTCAGCAATTTGTTCATATCAGTACGATAGATCAGCGTCATGAGAGCATGAATATAAAAATGAAAATCTGAAGTTAAAAAAAAAACGACTTTTACTTGCCGGACAACCTAATATTTGCACATTATTTTTCTCTCTAAATTAAAGAAGGAAATTTTTTCGGAATATAAAAGGATATATTAGATAAAAGGAAAATTTAGATGCAATAACTTGGTATATCTTTGTGCTAATAAGAAGGCGTGCTAACTTAATGATAACTATTGCGTGTATAGTTATGGAAAATGCCATTTTATTTATCAAGTATGGTTCAAAGATAATAAGTAGACAAATACCATGTGCCTCATGATTCCGAATTTGGAAAAAATACCAATACTTTACATGACGGTACAATTTTTGTAATCGGTATTTTGATTACTAAAATTGTTACAACGAGGATACAAATAGTATATATACATGTATACACGTGTTTGGAAAAGAGAATATTGCCAAAGAGAATGTTGCTCTAGGTTATTAACAGTAGGGAAAGGATTAAGGTTTAATAATTAATAATTAAAAGAAGTGCTTAAATATAATAAGTAGTTAGTAAATCTTTTAGTAAATTACAAAATGTGTAGGAAAAAAATTAATCTCTATATGCATTTCTTGACTGTTTAGTGAAATTGTTTATAATTTTATTGAAATTATATCATAACAAATTTTGGGAATATAACAATTACAGTCACTTCGAGAGATTTTAACACAAACATTTTTGTGTGCCATTGGTTGAAGAAGGCAAAGTTAAATTGTTACCCTAGTTTACGCATCAAAAAATGTTAATGAAAAGATCTTGCCCAAGTCATTATTGTACAGTATTTTCACAAAATTTATACATATATGTTTGTATATTAAGATAATGTTTATTATTTTAATAATTTATATACTTATTTTAATCCATATTATTTAATCCAATTCAAAACATCAGAAAGTTGTAATATTTTAAATATTAAATTTATATATACGAGATATTGTTTATTGTTATATATATTGTATGTTATAAATATCATCCAAACACATACATTTTAAATTGTCTTGTAAATTTATTAGGTATACTGTACTTATGTAATTTACATGTTTAATTTATTTACGACAATTAATAAATGTATGAATTAAATCGTTATCAACTTTAGTTTATGTCTTTATCCTTTTTATTAAAACTGATACTCCAATTTTTTGCCAAGTTTTATATAATATTTATTAGATTAAATTTAATATTTATTTGTATTTAATATTTAATATTTGTATTTAAGATTGAATTTAATATTCATTAAATTAAATTTAATATTTATTAGATTAAAAATAAGTTTTTTAAGCAGCAAAAATAATTTTAAATTTCCTGTTTTTTTTCACCTTTCTATGATGCGTACTAATGAAATATATTATCAATTATTTGCAGGTTAATAAAATATCGTCAATGTACACGGAGAGATGAATTATTCATATTACATGGACATATGGAGGCCACTTGAGGTCATTTTGTGGAGCCTAGTATCATATGGCTCGTTGGTCTAGGGGTATGATTCTCGCTTCGGGTGCGAGAGGTCCCGGGTTCAAATCCCGGACGAGCCCGTGGTACTTATTTTTTGCGTTGTATATCAACATCTCACTTTTTTATTTAAAAAAACACTGATAATACAGAATACTATTGCTATACATGTATCACATAAAATTCGTGCACAAATAAAAAACTTGTAAATCGTATTTATATTTCAAGTCGTATTTAATAAAGACAAATTCAGAAATTCGAAAGGAGCAGGATGTGTACATTTGAGTACATTACGTACACTGACATGCACCTGGCAGCTGGTTGCAACATGTCGCTCACGTGGAATCCTTCAAAGAAACATAGTGAACGTGAAAGGTGATGTGATAACAATAATTCGGATAATAACAAAGAAATATCTTTAAATTAATATATCTTTTTTTAATTTTTATACGAGCAAATAATATTTCTTTAGCCCGCAAAAGTGCATTGCGATGTGCATTATCTAACCTATAAAATTGATTCGAGCAAAAATTTGATATTTAATGTCGGAATTTACAGGTAATGTGATAACGGTAATTTGATAACAGAGAAATACCTTTAAATTAATGTATTCTTTTTACATTTTTATACGAGCAAATAATATTTCTTTAGCCCGCAAAAGTGCATTGCGATGTATCGATGTATACATTGCCTAACCTATAAAATTGATTCTAGCAAAAATTTGATATTTAATATCAGAGTTGAATTTACGGATTAAACATACAGGTCAGTGAAATTGCGACCCTCTCAGAGTAATTCCCCCTCTCTCTCTACGAGAGATTTTTTCTTGGAGAAGTATCCAAAATGATCTCTTAATTTCTGGAACAAATATTTGACATATTTTGCTTTTGCAGTCACAAAGTTCAAATTCGTCGTTGTTTGACGTGTTTTTTATTTGACAGGTGGATATGCATCTATCCCATATATCTGAACAGCAAGAGAAGCTTGGCGGGCGGGCGGAAGTTGGCCAAGGACAAGTGCGTGGAGAATCCAACGCATCAGGAAATACGGGACGTCCTGCTGGCGGCGGGCCTGAACGTCGGCGTCGAGAATAAGCTGCATCCGAAGGAGCGTAGCAAGGAACCCCTGTTCCGCGGTCGTATCCGCGTGCAGCTGAAGAACGACGACGGCACGCCGGTACGACCCGAGTTTCCCTCCAGGGATTCCCTGCTGGAGTACGTCGGCTCGACAATTTTGAAGCTGAAGACTCGCCAGGGTAAGCAGAGCTCCAGCGAGCAGGCGTCGCAGCCGTCCACGTCGACTTCAAAGAAAGGGAAAGGCAAGGGAAGGAGATAAAAAGGAAGGAAGCAGAGAAGTGAGAGTTAAGAGAGTGAATTTTTATTTATATATATTTTACATTCTATAAAACATTTGTATTTATATACCTACATATATATGCTCATATTTAGATTATATTTAGATTCTATACTCTTTCACACAAGAGATAAGATGGGAATTAATATAATACTATAATTGAAGTATGTATCTTCGAAATGGATTACAATTATCTCATAAACTTTTCAATTTTATAAACTTCTTTACTCATAATCTCCAACTCCCTGATCAAACTTTTAAAACTGAGGGTATATATGAGATGAGGTTTGCGAGATCGATACATACGTTATATATTCAGGGAATTAATTACTACGATACTTTTATATCTCTGGTTAAAAGTTTGAGTAAAGATAATCTTTCAACGAGTCCTATTCTTTTGATTTTTAAATTTAAATTGAAACTCAAAGTGGCACAAAACGATAAACATCTGTATTGTATGTGCATATTTAGTTGATTTGAAATAGACTAATTAAAATGGATTAATGAATAAATTAACGTTCATCATTTTGTAGGAATGTATAATTAACACTGCTTGTTAAGAAAAAAATTTAATAATCATTACAATTTGCTTGCTGTACAAATATGACAATAACATCAAAAAATTAAGTTTATAATTTGAATAGATTAGGTGTATGTGTGTGTACAATGTATTTAATTTGTCCTGCTTATAACTTATCGTTTCAATTCTTCTCGGTACTCTTGTCTTCTTTAGCAATGCTGTTTGAATTGATGACAGATTTTTCTGTCCCATCATTGGAAAGTGTTGTTCTGTCAGCTCCGCTTCTTTGTTCACCATTTGCGTTTTTCTTGCAAAAGTATGAATTAGACGCGGCAGTCATCGGGTCTGATGTATCTTGCGTGTAAGGCGGTACAGTTTGAAGAACGTATCCATTAGGTTGGAACAAGCCCAACAAAGGACTGTAATAACTATATTGATATGGCACATTCTGATATTGCAATGGTTGGTACAATGCGGATGTAAGGTATGTCCCTGGATACTGCGGTGAATCAGTTAATCCGACATTTTGCTCGGCAGGTTTATCCTGGAAGAGACAAAGTTCAATTCATAATTTTTCTTTTGTTACAAAAGTCAGTTCATTGCTTAGTCAGCTATACGATGCATTCAACAATTTCAGCAATCAAACAATTATTTGTAACGCATGTCACAACTTGATATGAATGTTAATTTACGGAATGTTGCAATTTCTTCTTGAATGTCAACATGTTCTTCATTACTTCATTATTGCCAAGAAAAAGTTTACGTAAGAATTTATATTTAAATAAAATTCACGAATTATGCAATATCATATCTATATTATTGGGAAACTTACTGCATTACTTCTGGCGGTAGGAAAATTGGCAGTAGTAGAATCATCATTTTCACACGATTGACCAATCGACGTATCTGATCCGTCCTGTGGGAATTAATAGAAAAAGATTTAATTGCAGCGTTCATATAGTTTTCGTTTTAACTTGTTGTCACACACATATATCTATTAGGAGCGTTCGATTATTTTTTTTAGTACACTTCGGATTTGAAGGTGTATTACACAATAATGTATTTAATGTATGTGATAATCTGAAAGGTGATACACATAGATATTTGTATGTAGGATTTTTACTCAGATTGAATATAACATAGCGTCTGTCAAGTTTTATCGTACTGGCTGCAAATTATCTTGTTAAACGCTACTTACATTGGCACTTCTGACGATACCATGATGGTACATAGGTCGATGGTACGCACGAGGGTGTAATACATTGTGCAAGACGTGTGCGGGAAGTGTGGCCGCTCTGAGTAAAACGTGAGGCAATCCATGCGGATGAGGATGATGAACGATCGAGCCCAACAGCGGATCGTACACTCTGCTTGTCGGATAGGCAATAGCTGGATTCAACGCCCTTAAGGGAGACGCCAGAGTAAACTTCTCTACGCCCTCCATAGTCGGACCGACGTACGATGCGGAGTCTGATACCACATACGGAGAGTCGCATGTATTCCATGAAACGGGGCTGCTTAACGGTAGATTGTGAAATCCGTCTTCGGGGTTACTTTCGTCAACCACGCCCGAAAACGAATTTGTCGCAGATTCGGCGCTATCGCGAGTCGCATTGAACATCTTGACAAAATGAGAGTGACCAGCCGCTGGTCCTCCATTGATAAAATATTGTGCCACTTTCTCGGCATCTCCTACAAGGTAATTCGACAGTCCTTATTTCAGACATCCCGCTGTTAAAAAGCCTAAAAGATGTCTTGGTTTTCGCAGCGTTTCATAAAGTAAAAACGTTTTTTAAAATATACCTTTTGGAGCTTTAGAATCCTCGAATTTGGATATTAATCAGTTCTTTATGAATAAATAAAATTACACTTTATAATGTTAATATAAAACTTTGTGAAATTATTTTCAGAAGAAAAATTTTCGAAAAGTTGTGACTATGGAGTATTTGAAATTCATGGAGAGGCATATGCGGCATTTTCTGAAAGCCACATCTTTCCGAAGGGACTTTCGAAATATTTTAGTCGATAGAAAGTTAAAGTGTTTTATACAACTACAATATTATCTTACCCGGTCTGAGACGACGCCTGTATTTGAAAATAGAACGCACGTCTCGCTCCTCATCTGTCAGATCCTCGGAAAGCATATTCAGTTCGATAGCTTCAATATCCCTTTGCACGCGCTGTATGCATTCTGCACCTGAGACTGTACGATATTGTTGAGTTAAAACGTGAAACCTTTTGGACAATCGTTTTAGCAATTTGTTCACATGAAAGATATATTCGTAAATGTATGATAATACCTTTGTCACTGTCATCAGCAAAATTGCATTCACAGTGGCCGTTCGCAAATACCGCGGAAGCGTTACATTGTATGCATAACAAATTGCAAGTTTCGGCGTCGTTTGCGTTTAATAAAATGCCATGAATTGTCGCTGCAAGCACACGTTACGAAATAGGATTAATTGTGTAGTAATGTATACATTATTAATAATACTCAATCTTTTAGAACTATCTCTTTTTTAATGTGTAACATCAAAAGAGAGAATTTAAGCGTATTTAAAACTTATTCTCAAAAGAATACGTTTTTCTTTCATTATTCGCGATGATCCCTAATAAAAAAAAAATACAATTCTTTAATTGTATGGATAATTAAATGAAAATTTTACATTTTTATCTTGAATAATTAATTTTATGTAAAACAATTCATGTTTCGCTCACGTTACTGTTTGCATTATATAGCAAAAGTATTAATCGTTAATATACAGTCGTGATAAAATTATTAAAATGTAATTAAATATTAATATTATTATGAAAATTTGATTGAATATTAATTGAAAAGTCTTTCATACGAACCAGCAGAGCACAGAATTAATAACAAAATTCGATGTCGATTGATCATATCGGCCGATGAATAACGAAAGTCCAATTAAAAATTTTTAGTCAGATACAAGTCGCGATCCTGCACTGTACTGCTATAACGGTAGGTGTGCCTTAATTTATAATCGTTTACAATTGCACAATTTGCGGGTATATGCATTCCTCAAACTGCTTTTCTGACACCTTCGATAATGCAATTTTCGCATTTTAATTTACCGAATGTATTTCAAGTTGCATAATGTCACACCGGCGACCTACCTATCATGTGTCACAATCTGTCGGTATTTTCGGCAAAGATATTCGGGGAACGATTGCGATAATGCATTTGATTTCGCTGCACTTTAAAGTTTTCTTTTCGTTGCAGCTTTATAAATATCGCTTGTTACGAGAAACGCGAATTAAACAATTTACAATCCGTAGAATTTTTATGCAAGTTGACATACTTATGACTTAAAAATCGAGTTACATAATTAAAATATAATTTTAGCGCGATAATAAATTTCGAACAATTTTGAATAGTTAATAATGTATTTTTTTTAATGAAAAAAAAAATTATTTATTATGACGATGCTCTCAAATTATTGGTTGAGTTAATGTTTAATGAGAAAAAGAAGAAAATCTTCACCGTGACTTAATTGAAATATATTTTTAGCGCGATAATTTCGAACGATTTTAAATAGTTAATGTATTTTCTTTGAATGAAAAAAATTATTTATTATGACAATTCTTTCAAATTATTAGTTGAGTTAAGGTTTAACGAGTAAAAGAAAAAAACCTTCACCGTGACAATGCTCTCACGCATTGCCGTGACCAGGATTCGAACCTGGGTTACTACGGCCACAACGTAGGGTCCTAACCACTAGACGATCACGGCTATTGAAGGTCGTGTAAAACAGTTGCCTTTTTAAGGTTAAAAATGCCGTGACGTGTATATACCACACTCGACGCGACGCGAGCGGCGAGACGCGAGACCATATGTACACAGTGTCTTCTGATACTCGTAAACACACGCTTTATGTAATTGTAAGACAAATTATGTCAGCTCTTTCACGGATAATTGGGAATAATAACGCAGGTAATAAGGTCAGACCGTTCAGAAACCTCATATACGGCAGAATTTATCGGAAATTTCATTTGAAATTCCATTGGACATTTTGTTAAGAAATTTATCGGAAATCATTGTTCGCATAACCGCTTTTTTCGCGTGTACTGCAATTGCGAAGTGAAATATATGAGAGATCGCATAATATTGTCATCGTGATCGATATACTGTCCCTCCAAATACCATCGATTGCTATTTTATCAAAAGAATTTTATTTTAATCCCGTAAATTTTAAATAACATTGGCATATCTCTCTCTCTCTCTCTCTCTCTCTCTTTCAGAGATCGCGTCCTAATTAATTATAGTATCCTGTATTTTTTACGTGCGATCCTGGAGAGACAATTGTTCTAAAATTTCTGAACCCAATTTACACAGTGTTAAAGAAACATAAAGTTAGAAACCGACGAAATTCTCAATTTAAATTTCGAACATTGCAATTGCGTTAATAAACAAATCCGCAGTTTTAATTTGTGTTATATATTTTTTATGGTTTATTACAATTTTTTAATCTTTTGTTTTAACTTTAAACTTAGCTGTGATTCGAATTTCAAAAAATGTCAAAGTAAATTATAGGAATTTTTAGAATCATATAACTTTTGAAAGTTTTATTAGTACGCCATAGCAAAATTCTTGTAATATTTCGTCGATTTTTTTAAATTAAAAATTTAGATTTATCGATGATTGGTAAACTCATTGGTAATTTTATCGATGTACGTATGTACCCTATTATGCAATTACCTACATCAAAAATTTTCAACCGTCGGTATTTTAACTGCAAGAATTAAAACTTTCGATAATTGTGAAAATTTAAACTCTTGGGGACATTTACACAGTGTTGAAGAAACATAAAGTTAGAAATCGACGAAATTCTCAATTTAAATTTCGGACATTGCAATTTGAAATGCTTTATTGCATAATTTTTTAAATTATCTAATATTATCAATAATAAAACCAATATGATCATTATACATGAGTATACACACTCACGTTCATGAATATCCAAATACGATGCGCATATCTCGAGTATGAATGCTCATAATTGATGCAACTTTGCATTTATGTCGCCGAGAATGTATGTATTATACATGCACCATACACCAATCGCGCTCAGACTTGTATCGATCTACCGGTTAGACGCGGTTAGTATTTTCAGAAGAATCTCAGTAATCTTTTACGCATATTTTTACGTAATTGATGATTCTCTGTGGCAGCGCTATAATAGCTCTGTAACTTTTATATTACGGATAATTTTACCTACCAACAATTAAAATATTTCATTCCGAACATTGGATAATTCTATCTCAATCGCTGTTTATTTTAATCTCTAAATTTTGTTCTTATATATTTGATTATATTTTATAATATTATTATATGACTGTATTTATCTATACATATTATTCATATATATGTGATATACAAATCTAGTTGCCAGTGTAATTATATTATGTAAATTACATTATATAGCTTTCAAACAGAGTCAGAATTGCATAGTGCATCAAAGCATGTATAATTTGTACGCCGTGAGTTCTGTTTTGCTCTAATACGAGTTATACACGGAAAGTGTCAAATTTTGAAAATCTCGTTAAGATAGATTGGTCCCATCACTGCGCGTCCGCATTTGGCTTAAAGTTATTTATGTTTGAAAATCTCATTAACTGTAATATATATGATTTGAGCACTATATGTATAAATTCCATTGCCCCCAATATATGAGCTGCGTTAAATGTCTCAAATTTTAGAAAATGTTTATAGAACAGGCGGATTTAATTAACGATATGATTAAATACTATTTTCAGTTCCAAACGGGAATAATTAATTCTCGGAGATCACGAAAAGCGGTTCGACTGAATTCATGCTGCAGGCACCGATTGTGTCGACGCCAGAAATGATCGCCGTAATGGTATATCGCGGGGGTACGTTCCTGGATTCGCGTCGTGGCATCGTGTGGCATCGCAGAACTGCCGAGCCACCACTTGCTCCCTCATGCTTTCCCGATCACGAGAGTCTCCGGGAGAGCCTATCCCAACCAAGCCGATACAGGAGAATCCGACGTGTCGTCTTATATTCATGCCCCTCTCTCTTTCTCTCCCGATCCCGTCCGTCGCCGTCCGTCATCTGGAGTGCGTCGCATTCTAGGATCGCGATTTGGAGAGAGACTCGAGGATACGCAATGCAAAAGGATCTGTACAGCGAGTCCTTCCCGAGGGAAGGAGCCGCGAAGGTTACTGTAGCGTCATTCTATGACACTGCGAGTTCGGATCCATCGATCGTCCTGGAGAGAATTCGAATCTATGACGCAAGTCGGGAAGCTGGGAGAAATCTTTAGATTGTACAGAGTGTCCCGGAATCACATCAGCAGATTCTTCTGGTAAGAATTACTTTTTCTTAGATATCTTCCTTCAATGTGCACCATGCCGAGAACATTATTTAGCTGTTCATATATCGTTCAGATTTTTCAATTTATAATTAAGCTGCTCTTTTCTTTGCTTTATAACTAAGCTCCCTATTAATAAATTTCTATTTAATTCGTATAAAATTTATTGAAGAATTTATGACTCCCTCATTTTTCATCTGAAGCTTAAAGATCCTTCTTTTTGAGCATTAATAATTCGAAGGCTATCCATTTATGACACTTTGACATTTTTACCAAGGAAAAATCGATTTTATGCGAATCAGAACGTAGTGAAATAGACACCCAGTGATTTCGAGACACTCTGTATAACCTAGTTTCTTTCCTTTCGTTCCAGACGTTCATCAGGACGGCCTTTCGATTTGTTTCTTTTCTTCGCTTTTCCCTTCACTCAAACCACAAATTACAACGGGGAGATTATCGAGGAATTCGCTATCCTCTTTCTCGTTCGAGACGTAAGTAACCGGTTGTGTACAGAACAGGAAAATCAAACAAAAAAGCATTCAAGAGCGCATCTATCTTTCTGTTACTTGATTAATGTAAATTCATAATACGTGACCAAACTTCCCTTTTCTTACGTAATAATTTTTAAATCAAATTGATACGAAACAGGTCGATATCTCAAAAAGAAAAATCGTATTTTTTAATAATTTTTTTTTTATAAACGTGTTATCGATCGCATGTACAAAAGTGCAAGTTGACGATAAGGCATTTTTTTTTCGTACCGCTTTATTTAATTCCTTATTTCATTGCATTTTTCTCGAAGTCTTTTACCAATTTATCGATCCGTTTCACGCACTCGGTAGAGTTTTTGTGATCAATATCGTAAACCTGATAAGCAATTAAATTGTTAGAATTATAAGCTGCAGGTTTTTTTTTTATAAATACAGGAGAAATTCTTATACTTTTTTCGTAAAATCGCTTTTCAGCTTTTTATCCTGGAATATCATTTTCTCGCCGGTCCGCAAATTGTCGAACACTTTTGAGCGCAACGGTCCAAATTTCTTTTGAAATTTCTTCGTGTCGCCCGCGCATTCCGCCTCCAGACTTTGTATTTCAGCGTGTATCTTTCGTTCATTCGAGCCCAATTGATCCACTTTCTTGTTGAACTTCTTAATGTCACTGTACGCGCCCTGATAATCCTTTTTCGTTTTTGCCCGCAGTTCTTCAATAAGCTAAACATTACATCGGAAAAACGGTCCAACTTCGCGGTTGTTGCCATGTCCATTAAATTCTTTTACGAGTTTGCGAGAAATATTTCAGTGCTAATGACAGTGATAATGACGCTAAAGAGATAGAACGCATCAATCACCTTTTCGATTCCCGTGTTTACTGTATTTCTGAGTTGATCTGACGCGTTTGGAAACTTATTGAACATCTCGTCAACCCGCGTTCGATTAGTTTTAATCCACGTGTCAAGCTTGACGTCAATCTTGTTGTCATCGTAGTCTATCAAGAACGTATCCTCGTTCGTAACATTATCCTGCACTCTCGCCAACACTTCGGAGCTCCAATGTAAAACGCGATCTCTCTCCTCCAGGAGACCTTCCCACGTTTCAGGCATCCTGCCCATAGTTTGTCCCATTTTGCAAGAAGCTAATAGTATAATAGTAAAATGGAGTCCCATTTTGCAAGAAGCTAATAGTAAAATGGAAATCCAGTGAAATGTACCCGTATATTTTAGCGATATCTTTAAGTTTTCAAGTATACAAAAAAGCTAGATTGTCACATCCCGTTATCTAATTCCTAATTAATTCCTCACAGGAAATTGTAGAAATAACCAAGTCAGTAACACTTTCGGCCGTTTTTAAGGACTGAAATTTTCATCGTATTACCTTTTATTAATGCGATCTCTTGAAAAATTTAAATAAGTCGTTTTAATGGATTTTAAATTTCAAATTTATTAAATTTTCTGTGAAGATTTTCGCGGCCGAAATAGCATTTGGTTCGTGTAACGAGAAATTTACGAGGAATATCTTTGTACTGTTGAACAGTTGAAAATTTTGACAGCTCGAAATGTTAGCGATTGCAATTTGATTAGAAAAACCTATTTGACGTTTGCTCTGCTACGCCAAATATACCGCGCTCTTTTGTCCGCCGCGCCGTGTGTTTTATACACGTTGTATGCACGATGTACATACATACAGCGAAATTTAAACGTCGACAATTGAAAATACTATGGCAGAGCGTGCTATTTATTTAAATAAATATTAAATAAATACACTTCTCTCAATTATTCTCTACAAGGATCAAATATTGTCCGCAACGATGCGCCAGGAATTTATTCCTTCGTAATCATACATTTACAGGAATCGCGTCTTTCACGCGTGTTAAATTCCAAATAACGTTCGAGCATCTCTCTCTCTCTCTTTTTCCTCTTTTTACTTTTCATAAAATCGTCTCGCTTCGTTATTCGCAACTACTCGTTTTGTCGCCTCGTACGATAGCGCCACGCGGCGGCAGTGCGTCGCGACGCTCGCGCGAGGCGCTATTGATAAAAATTCTCCTTCCGGGAAATACGGAAAATACCGCGGTTGCCGCGGCCGCGCGAAATTACGCGGAAAACGAGCCGTTCGCGTTCTTTCACAGCCGGCTGAATGCGCGTCGCGAGGGGGGCTCGTTTGTTCGCGGAGAGACGCGCGGAGCCGCGCGCCACGTCGTTGTAACGGCGCGAATAGCGGAGGTGTCGGCGCTTTCGTATTCGAAGCGCGCTATTTTGCCCCCGTTGCGTTCTCATCGCGCGTAGAAAAAGGAACTGGGACGGATGTCCGCCTGTCGGCGGAGCCCGCGGGATTGAATCGCGCGGCAGCGCGCGCGAGCAGCCTCGCACTCCGCCTCGTCGAGGTGTCAATTCAAAAGCGGCCGTAATCTCCGCTCGGCGCGGCCAATAATCGGCTTATTGATTTTGATTTGTGCCCGCGTAACGTGCACGAAGGCCCGCATCTGACCGAGCGACGCGCACGCGGTGCGGAATCGAGAATACGCGGGTCGAAGAAATAGCCTTCTCGTCGAGGTGAACAACGCGAACTTTCTAATTGTAGGATTCAATAATATCAGACCCGTCGAAAGAGTGAATGAATAAAAATAATATGCGAGTGAAATCTCTCTAACTGTATGCGAAATAATTTCGTAGGTTTGATCTCTTTTCATTCGACATGCATGCTTTTATTTACTGCTACTACTGCACGAATGTATATAAGTTTCGAAGATGAGGATTAATAACACACTGCTTACTAAATAATTCATGGCGTACGTAATGCGTTTGTCTTGTAATCGAAATATTCTGTTTTTACTTTCGCATAAACTATACTGCCGTTACGAAGAGGCATAATTAAGCACATATACGTAGTTGTAACATTTATGAAAAGCATATCGAACGTAATTCAGTTTAGGAAGATCACTTTTTTTGAGCTTTGTGCTAAATATATTAATATTAATAAGTAAATTCGGTAAAGTTACTATCATTTGTTAAACAGATCATCGAAATTCAAAGCGCGTCGAAACGCAGCTGATGGAACCGACGATAAACGCGATCCGCGAAGCAGCAAGTAACGATCCGCGATATCCCCGCCGAATAGAATATAGACTTCGTGAAGTATTTCACGATAGAATTTTTCTCTTTCCTCGAAAGTATACGTTCGCGCGAAACAGCTTTTCCAACTTTTAACGCGTTACACGACCGAGGAAGTTTATCAACGTCAGCAGTTAAGAGTTAATCCACGCGACGTTCGGTCCTCGGGGAGCGGAGGAGGGAGAGGAAGGACAGGGCGGATAGGGGGATCGGCGCTGACGGGGCGATAAACGGCCATCTTTATGCCCGATATGACGATGAGGGAGAGAATTTGCGTTTCATGGAATTATAAAGTAATGCCCGCGCGCGCGGCATTGAAAGAAAAATACCCTCTCGCTGTGCCGTGGCGCCGAAGTTTCCGCCGCGCGCGGCAACTGGTTGACGCTTTTAACGATCTCGGCGACTCTTGTCCGCGAGCTCGCGCGAAAATCTGTCCCTCCTCCCTCCTGCCGCCCCTTCGTGCACCCCGTTGCCCATTTTCCCTCTCCTCCATCGCGCCCGCCAGTTATGTTATATTATAACGTTATACGATGGCGTTCTCGCTTTATGGTGCCGTTCGAGCGTTCAAATTGAACTAAAAATAGTCCGCTTTGCGCGCGCCATCGATGCCACCTGAACTACTCGTGCGTGCACGAAGGTGGCCTCCGTCGCGTCGAGTACGCGCGGGATACGTACACTTCAGCCTGGCTGGCTGCTTCTTTTGAAGCGGCCGGGGGAAGAGAGAAAGAGAGAGCGAGAGAGAGAGAGAAGGAGTGACTCGCCTTGTGAATCGCGTATATGTATGCTCCCACATGCATGCATAAATCGCGCGCGTCGCGGCTTTTTACGGCCTGACCTATCTTCCGCCCACGTTAAATGTCTCTCTCGTTTTTTGCGGGATGCACTCGATCATCCCTGGGAATCGCTCCGGCGCGGCGCGGCGGCGGCCGGCTTCGCCGCTCCGATATTAAAGCCGCGAGTGCAACAAATGCGACGGATGTATCAGTAGTCTGTATAGGGCTGTAGGACACTTTAACTTTAATCGGTAATTTATGATCGTATAATCTACGATTCTCGCGCGCGTGTACAATCGGTATTAATATACGCGCTCGCTGCGATTTCTCGCGCGTTTATCCGCCGCCGCAAGAGGGTTGTCCGACGGAGCGGCAATGTTAGATGCATTCCCGGCAAATTGCTGCACGTATCCCGCAACAGAATATCAGTGAGAGAGATAGATTCCGTTTCCGAAATTACGTTCCGCTATATCTATAATCGTTATGCAAGTGAATCCCGACACGTCGGCGAAATACCGTACGCATGGCGCTATACTATATTCGCGCTCTGCCTCTCGCATACGCGTCCCCTGCTCCCGAAATGGTGGCCATTTGATACTTTTTACGGGCGAGAACGAGCTCCACAAGCGAATGATCTTCATCCACCCGAGGCTGTACTCTGGGGGCTTGACAGTGAATACTCGGTTGAGGGCGATCGGTTCTTTCCACGTGATAGATCAAAACCGAATTCCCGCCGAATCGATGGGCGAGCGCCTAAGCCACGGGCCAGCTGGCACAAAAAGGGGACATTGCTTCCGGTTCCGTTCGCCGGGTCACTCAGAAAGAATTAACATGCATGCGCCAGTTCGTTCGTGCGCCGAAGACCGGTTTACATCGCCGCCTTACATAATTAAACGGACGCTCGAGGACGTCCATCCGGATCTAATTTCAGCAATTAAGCCGATCGCGCTCCGATGGACAGAGTGGACAAAATCACGCGAATAGCGATAGCGAACACTTCAAACTTTTAACCGCGACGTGCGCGCCGGCGTGTCCGTATTCAATTACCGTCGAAATCCCTTGTCGTCGGGCATTAAAGCCAGGTCTAATCCTAGGAATACGAGGGGGGATATGCGAGACAAGGACGGTTCTCGACTCGGTGTTAAGCTTCGCGGGGATACTCTCTTTGGGGTAACGGTAATCGATGAAAAAAAAAGCTAAAACGGTAACAATGGCGATGCTGCACTTGGAGTAGGTAAAGGTCGGAACAGTGGCGCGCTTAGGATGTTTTATAAACGAGGGGAAAGAAGGTGGAAATGTGATTTAATTACATTTACATTTTTTTAGAAAAAAAAAATATAATCCTTATTTTTCAGAAAGTATGAAATACTTTCTGCAGGATTAATGTAAATTTATATAAAAAGCATCTCTCTCTCTCTCTCTCTCTCTCTCTCTCTCTCTCTGTTATTGCCGAGTAGAACTGATGGGATTATCGTGAAATATTATGGTTTCTTGCAACGTAACAAATTTCTCTCTGCTATGTATAAAAAAGATTAATTTATAAAATTGAGCGGTACAGAGAAAATTTTATTTCTGATATTTTTAGAGTAATATTTTTTTTTTAATGAGATGCTAGAGTCTCAGACCTTGAGTATTCATTTTGACATCTAAGTTCTAAATAGATTGAACGTAATAAAAATTCCATCGACAGGTCACGCATCGTATTGTACGCACGAGATGGAGCGAATAGATCATTGATCCGCCATGAGCGTCTGGGAATCTTAGAAACTGAGGGATGAGGCATTTGGACGACGGAAATGGATTCCGGGCACGCGACCGCGAGGTAAATATTTCCAGAAACATTATCTTGAAATCCTAAAACTGCACTATCGTCAATTCGCTCTCTGGAGGACAATAAGGACATTCCCTTATTTCAACGAGCACTGCACTTCCGTACTCGCACTTCTTTCCATTTTTTATTCGATTTTATCGCTTTAAAACTTTTACATAGGTATAGGCATAAACTTACTATGCAAATATATATTTTTACGTATTTTAAAATTTAGTCACGACAAAAGTTTTCTTTCGAAACGGCCAAAATTGGAATTTTCTTTTCTCTCTCTCTCTTTTTCTCCGCTTTAACTTTAGTGCAAAAAGAGTGCGATAGGAAGTGCAGGCAAGGTGCGGTTATTTTCGCCCGGCCCGAGACGATACGTGGAAGCTATTGTTCGCGCGATCCTAGTTTGGCAGTGATCCTCGGTGTCAGCCGGTCTAATAAAAGCCAGGTCGTGCTTGCGAACGGAGTAGTCGATTGGACCCGATCGTGATTCATCCCCGCCGCTGCTGCAGCAGCAGCAGCTCTTCGGTCTGGAGAAAAAAGACCTCCATCACCGGTCGCCAGTCGTTGCTCTCTCGCGCAAAGTAGAGCGTTTTTTTCTTTTTTTTTTCGGTTTTAGGACAGTGATCTAAAGATTCGCGAGGGAATAAGCGATTCGCGGATAAATGCGGAGACAATAGTTATCAATAGCACTTCGTACGTCCCGTAACTCCGCTTGGACCGTGCCTCGCGTAGGGCTCTCTCGGGAGAGCCGTTCATCCGATGGCGGGCTGCCAAGCAGACACAATCCATACTATAAATACTGCTGCACATCACTGTCCCATCCTGGCGCATCGTATCTTACCGGTCTTCGTTCTGTTCCGTTATACGACTGCTTCCCTCCGGCTACTTTTCGCACGCGAGATTTCGCGTTCCGCGCGCTTCCTTAACATGATCAAAAACATCCTGACGATTTTAACACGCTGGATAAACGCTTGACTCATAAGCGCTCCAGCTCCAGCTGGAAAAAATCTCGCCCACCGACTATAACTCACCGCTTATTTTAACTGAGAATATTTTAACGAAAGTAGAATAGACTTTAATAAAAATGAATTTTAACGTGCAGACGCGTTTATTGGCGAAATATGATATGGAATTTTTATTCAAGATAGTGACAGAAAAAAAAATTGGAAAAAAATTAGCGAACAAAATAATTTATTTGCTGCAATTAAATGTATCATCCAGGATTAATTCCATAAAAATTTGTTTAATGAAGAGAGAAAATCGTCAGTTTTTAAAATTATTCAATAAATTATTAAAATCGATATTGGTAAATAAAAGTATTGTAAGTGATGGAAAAATTGTCAGAAAAACAGGATATGCACCTGCAGCGATTAATTTATTGTACATACGATGGTACATACGGTCGAAGGGATTTACGTTCGCCGTGAAAAATTTCGCGCGCGGCAACGTGTTAACGTAATCGTCGTGAAAACTACAAGCTTTGCGATCACTTTCGAAACGGGATAGATGTACAAATTCCTGTATTATGCCGCAGGACTCTCGGGCCAATGGCGGCCGTTTATTCGACTCGCGCCCAGACTGAAAGTGGTCGATATCGGTTTTCGGTGCGGAACAGTATCTCCGAAGAGACGGGACATCGCGAGCGAAATCAATCGTTTTAATACGACGCAAGTAAAAACATTAGCGGCTGAAAGAGGGAGAGATGAGAGAGAGAGAGAGAAGGAAAGGGGGTGTGCAGGGAAAGTGTGTGCAGCGGCGGGAAACGGAAGCGGGGTATAAAACGAATACACAGAAGAGGCAAGCTGGATGGAGAGGAGAAAAAAAAGAGGAGAGGAGAAAAATGGGAGAAGAAAAAGCAGTGGCGGAGAGTAACGTTTATTGGACGTTATTAAATATAATGCCGCGAGGCGTGTCCCCCTTCGGGAGAGTTTTCCAATAACTTCGTAATTTGCTAAAAGGATCCCAGCTACGGGACTTTTAAGATGTACCGCTTTCTTCCGCGATGTCTCCCGTCGCCGCGTCGGTCCACTATTTGTTTTCCAACGAGGTTTGTTACCAAGCCCTCCGAACAACGTAACGTTCATATGTTCTATTTTTTTTTATTTCTTCATTTCAAAGAGTTACAATTTTTTCACGGTACACGTTCGTGGCACTAATTCGTTTAGCACGTTGATCATATCTGGTTACCTTAATTCTTTCGAGTCTAACGGGACAATACGTACTGATGCTGAGAGGGATCTTATACAATAATAATAATTCAGTGTAATAATTATAATGCTATTATCGAATTGTACTATACCTATTCCGCCCGATCCGATTTGATTTAATAATTATACCGATTATCATAGCCGATCGCAATTGAGGATTTAAATAATTTCCGAGTAAAATATTGACGTCACGATGATAATATCGTGCAGGCTATTAACTTCCCTCGAATGTTCGTATTTAGCGAAAGATTAGGTACACGTGCAAGCGAAGTCCGCTGATGCTCCAACTAAGAGCCATGACGTGTCATCCTAATGGCAGCGTCGGCGAGTGAAATTTACTTGAAAATCGCGTTAGTCGCGAAGTTTCGGCCGTCTAGTATTTCCGGCGGAGATTATCACGAAAGGGACTCCGCGCTGCACGACGACGTGCTCTCAAATTGAATTGAGATTACGGCGGCACGCCCTGCTTCGTGCACGCGTACCCATCCTCCTCGAGGTGGCATGGCGGTTTCGTACGCGGAGATAATACGGCGATGCACCTCATCCCCAACGTCAAGTCCACTGAATACGACCACCAATCTTCGATGTGCGCGCTATTTCGGGTACGCTGTGCATTAAATTTTCCCGTCAAATTATTTCACGTGTACGGCCATTCCTTTCATTTTAACTTAATAATAATACAATACTTATAGTACAATACAATACTTATTACACAAAAATAAAAATGAAGTAGAGAGCTGCATTTCCAAAAATAAAAGAAACAATAATGCTGCATATAAGCATTTAAATCTATAGTAATATTAATAATACGTTTCACTGGATTGCGTAGTTTGATGTAACCTTTTGATAATATTTTTTTTGACGCAGTTTCGTGATAAATTTTTTACATTTTTTTTTTCATTGCCGCGACGCAGTACAAGCGCTAGCTTCGACATGGAAAGAGTTATGGGTTCGCCGTTATAGATAAGTGAGCGGTAATTATTCGCCGGAGCGTGTCTTACTCGAGGATACGAGGGTAGGTTGCAGGTAACGGGACGCGTTATGGAAGTTCGTGATCCGCCCCGGCTGCATCTAGATCGGTTATCACTTTGGAGGCTTAGCCAAGGATCCGTGCAAATTGAGCGCCGCGTATCCATCCCGTCTTAAGGTACCTCGTGTACCGCCTCTTTGAGATTCTGGAATTTGCGCTCTGCGGGGTGTGAGAGCAAGCGGATAAGTGGATATACCTCGACTTAATCGATTATCCATCCTGCCGTGCGACGAACGCACCCTCCCGGGATATTTGCGACACGTCGATGTGTTTACCTACACAACGCCGCGTTAGATTTAAAATTAGTTTTTCCACGACCGTCGCACCGCGACGCACTAATAGGGCCCTCCCCGATTTAGACCGCCTGCGGCCGCAACGATTAAACACCTCAATTTCCTTCCTTCCGTTCTCCCCTTTCCACCCATCTCATTTTTAATCCACGGTTCCATTTCCTGTTAGTAGCAAGTCACAAATTCCGGAAGAAGGTTGTGTACAGTGCGAGATATTACGGTTTAACGTTTAAATATATTAAGTCTCCAACGTCTCCAACCATTTTGCGTCACGTCGAGCAGCAGCGACTTTTCTCGCTTCCGACCCTCGTCTTTAGCTGAGAGCCTCTAAGCATTCGTGAAATGCGACAGACATGTTTCATATAGCCGGGAATTTCTTACAATCGATGACTTCTATATTACATTTCTTTTATTGAGAAAGTTTTGTTGTATTTATTATTATAGATCGCCGTGAAATTTCTTGAATATATACATATAAATTCAATTTCCATGCTATTTGCATCTATTAATTTTGATTGCTGTTGAATTTTTATCGTGCTGAGCTTAATTATTGCGATAACAAGGGAGACATTGTGATATCAAGGGAGGTCTCATCGTTAACCCACGAGGGGAAAATTCGACAGCAGGATCCGGGAATGCGTATAGCGAACGCGGAACAATGTGTGTGGCTGTACGCGTTTGCCATAAGTTCGGAGGATGCAGGCAAATTCCTCGACGGCGTTATCATTCCCGCACCTTTCCCGCCTCCTCCGCGGCGACTTTAGCTGAGCAAACGTGACTTCAAAGAACCCCTTCATTCTGAAGTGCTTCGCCGTAACTCTAAGCGTCGCGATATGAAAGAAGTGGAAAATTTGTTCACTGAAATATTCATCGACTCAGATTACATAACCCATTAAACTTTATTGTATAGAACGGGAAAAAATAAGTTTCTTGCCGAACATTCAGGTATTCGTTATATTCAGGTATTCTTTTTCTTAAAAATTTCTCGAGTAATTCTAGGTTATACAAAATACTTCTCTTTTATTAACATTTTATTTCTTATAAAGTAATACGGACATATTTTGATAGAAGGATAGACGTTGAATCTAATTGGTTCGATCAGCTCGCGTATATTGAAGTTTTTCAGCTGGAAAGTAATTTTTTTTCGGAATAACCCATTTTTGTCGCGTGTGCAATGACATGGATATTTATTGGTCGTATCCCCTAATTCGTTATTCGAGCGAAACTGAATGTACGCGATCGAACGAGCCGGAGGTCATGCCAGTGTCTGTATTATCGTCCTCGCGCGACTCTTGCGTAGATACGTAAGCATCGACGAAAATCCGACATTGTTCCCGCGTTACCGGAGGTGCAAATAGGCTAACTTTGAGCCAATAAACCAAGCGCGAAATAGCACGATATTCGACGGAGAGTCGCTTGGAATGCAAATTCACGCTCGGGCGACCGGAAGTCGAATGGAAAATTCTAATATAATGG